ATACTTTCCAACGTACCTTAGTAGTTCCATGTCTGCTTCAACGGGTGATGCGAGCTTTGTTGACAGCTTCTTCAAGACATACATGATATCTGGCCTCTCGGGCGCGAGATACAGTAAGATTCCTACTCCTTTTCTGAACGTGTGATGATCTTCTGTAGTCAGCGGTTCCATTCCACCTTCTTTTTGTTTGAAATGATCTTCCATTGTCCGCTGGACACGGTAGCTTCTTCGGGTATGCTCCTTCCAACTTGAGCACTTCTACCAGTCCTTCGATGTACTTTGAGTTCATCGTGATCTCTACGTTTCCATTGCCCATCGACTTGAAACTTCTCTTCAGGAAACTCATTGATCCTTCATTCTCATCCATTGGTCCTTCAACTTTGATCTTCAATCCTTTGCTTCTCAGGAATTCGACCAACTTCTTGAATTCTTCTTTTGATGCGTATAGCTCCATGTCATCTACATGACTCAGCACGATTATTCCGAATCCTTCTTTGTCTGGCTTCCTTGAGAATAGTGCCGGGAGCCCACTATCACTTGCTAACCCGTACTCTTCTAGGTAGCTTTTCAACTCCCCGAACCAAGCTGCACTGCCGATTCGCTGTCCGGGTAACGTGTAACCTAGTTCATAAATTTCTCCATCGACTTCAACGATCGTCGGCTCTTCCTGCTCTACCATTAGGTAGGCGTCACCAACATCGATACTTCCGAGTGTGTATCCTTCTGAAGATGCGAACAGGGCTGACAGTAGCTTCACTGTGCTTGCTACACCGGTTGGCGAAAACAAACTTGCAATATCTGTATCACCTAACCACTTGAACTCTCTTGCTACCAATCGTCCTCTTCTTCTCCACTCTTTGTCCCTGTGCCTCCAGTCGTACACTATCTTTGTCGACAGAAACTTGTACTTTGAAATGTCTGTTCCTTTTGGCAACTTGTTCAGCACTTTCATCTTCTCAAGTCTTTCCAACTCGTGCTTCTTGGACACTCCTTCGACTTTCTCCATTTCTTCATCTGCTAACTTTGGTGGTCTGCTTTCGAAATCGTTCGGCCATTTTGGCATGTCTTCTGGTATTTCTTCTTCACCATCTGATTCTTGCCATTCTTCTTCTTCATCAAACTCAGCTTCCATTTCTTCAATTTCTTCCAACTCGACTTCTTCATCATCGTGATATTGTGGAAGTTCCTTTCTTAGGAATGGTTCTATCTTCTTCACGCTTCTCATGTCGATCACTCTTGTTACCGAACTTGATGCTTGTCCCGAAGATGCATCTCCTATGGCCATGAACTTCTCTGGCCTCTCTTCGGCTTGCGTTGTTCCTTCATCTATCTTCTGTCTCACCGCTTCTGGCTGCTCGCCTTTTTCAAGGTTCCTCTTTGGCGATGCTGGCGGTGGATTCTCTCCTGTAATCAGCTCATCTGATTCATCACTTCTCTCGCTTCTTTTTCTCGTGACTCCTTGTCCACGACTGCTTGAACTGCTGCTTGTTGATCCTGCGTGTCCTTCACCTGGATCTTCGTCCATGTCTTGTTCAGCCTCGCTTGGCGGATCAGATGCCGCCTCTTGGCTTGGGCTGTAGTCCTTCAATTCATCTTCTTGCTCTTGACTTCTTTCTCTTCTTGGAACTAACTCTGGCTTGTCACCAGTTGCTATCTCGATTCCACTGTGCGGTGGCAATCTCTTCGTAGATTTTCCTCCTACCAACATGTCTTGTGTGTAGTTCCACGGTGTTCCTGTTGCTTCTGCTAGCACTTCAACGTCATACAGTGGCGTACACTGTCTTATCGTTCTGCTTTTGATAATTCCTTGTCTTGTGCTTATCAGACTCAGGTTGTTCACCGAGTCTTTTCCAACGAAGATTCCTTTTCTCCATGCTTCTCCCTTTTCTTTGACTTTTGGTACTGGCTTCGCCAATACTACGCTTCCCCATGGCGCTAATGTTCCTTTGTACTCTCTGTCGAATAGCACTTCAAAAGGTGTTGATCCTTTCTTCACAACAAACCTGTTCAGCAGGAATGCTGCATGTCTTGCTGCCCATGGATACAGCGTACTTTCCGAAGTAATCTTCACTTTCGCTTGTGATTCAACTCCATACACCAATGTCTTGGATAAGTTCCGAACTGTCTGAACCCATCTTTCAACTTGCAATCCTTGGTGTTCATCTGGTACCACATCTTGTATCTCTGTATCAAGATTCTTCATCTTTCTTATCCCTTGCACTTTCTTTCTCAGCGAAATCATTGCTGGTTCTGTGTCAGTTCTCAAGATGACCTTAGAATTTAACAGCATAAGCACTCTGCAGACTTCTTCAACAACATATGCCGTCACTTCTTTTGTCGCTACTGGAATGACATGTACGCACTTTGTTGCTTCATCAACCATCACAAGTCCGATTGTCAATGCATCTTTGTTGTCTTTTGTGTTTTCTTCATCTCGAGTTCCAGTGAACTTGAAATCCATTGAGACTAACGATGCTTCATTCTTCTTCTCAGATACCTCGAAATTGTCTTCTCTTGATCTTGTCGCTTGACAGCTTTCACACCAATCAGCTTTTGGTAGGTGTGTCAGTTCATGCTTCTTTCTTTCTTCCTCAGTTGGCATCTCTGGTCTCTTTTCTCCTTTTGGTTCTCTTGTAAACTCTAGTTCTAGTCCTTTGGAGATTTCAACCAACTCCTTCATCTTGTTTGCTGAAATAGCTTGCTTCAACCTTTGCCATATCTGAGTCTTGCTTCCAGTCTTTCCTATCTTCAGGAATTCACATGCTGTTCTCATCTCCTTGAGTGAACTTTCTGGGCTGAGTTCAACTCCTGCCACAATCATCGCTTCTTCCATCTTTTCTCCTAAACTTGGCAGTTGCTCTTCAATCTTCTTCCATTCTTTCATATCTTCTTCTGCTGGTGGATCGCTTGGAAACAAATTCTCCATAGCTTCTGCGGCTTCCTTTTCCACTTGTTCCATTGTCTTCTTTGTCTCTTTCTTTTCTTCGTGAACCGCCATCTCCACGTCTGCTGCTTCCACTTCTTTCTCTTGTTCCTTCTTTTTCTTCTTTGAGACTGTTCTTTCATAATCACCATACTCTTCAAGTCCCAGAGACTTCCTCTCCAAGATCGTGATGATCACCGAGTTCTCTTCAACTGCGTCTATCGCAATCTCTTCTCGGTCTTCCCACTTTTCAGCGCACTCCACAAACTCCAGTTCGCTCCATACGATGTTATCACCATCGTACCTCGATACCAAAGTAGTTCTGAACTTGAACGCTTTCACATCGTCATGTGTGGGGTCATAGGTCACATACTTGTCATAATCGATCCTTGCTGGCTTCCCATCTGGCATGAAAAACCATCCTTGATGATACTTCATCTTCTCGAAATCATCTTCCATCTGCTTGATCAATGTAAGCTTTCTCACTTGTGGTTCATCACTTTCAGCTTTCACTTGAGCTCTGTAGATCTTTAGATCTGTCACTGTTGAGTTTCTTGCAAACCTCACTGGCACTTTTGCTGAACCTTTCTTCAGGCAAGCATTGAACTGGTCTAGAGGATCAAGTCCCCATCCGACTTTCCACAACTTGCCTACGGCAAACAGTGGTTGTGTTACATCTCCGAACACAGCTGAATCTCTTACCTTTATCACTCTTCCATCTGTCCTTTGGAATTCGAATGTGATGTTCGCTCTTGTTTCAGTGGTTCTTATCCTGTTGCCTTGAGCATCTTGAATGACCATTCTCAAAGCTGGGAACTCAACTGTTCCTAAGTCTTCGCTGTAGTAGCATAGCGGAAGTACATGACAATCCGCTCCACTATCTAGCACAACTTCCACGAGTTCTGAGTAGCTTGAGTTAATGGCTCGGACTCGATGCACTTCTGGCTCTTCATCTTGAACACTTCCGAAAAGTCGTTCTCTCTCTCTTGCATGCTCGGCATTCTGCTTGTCCACATGCAGATCTTCGTACCACTTGTGAAGTTCATCCTTCTCATAAACTTCTTCATCACTTTCATCAGCCATGCTTGACCATAATACAACTGTGTTGACTCTTACTGTCCGTGCAGCATAGTCCATCACCATTTCTTCGAACATTCCTACAAGATCGACGTACTCTTCATCGTCGTCGAACACATCTTCAATCACTGGCAAGGTGTTGTAACCAACCTACGCACTTGTTCGTTTCCTTTTACTCCTTGAGGTGGCCTTGCCTGTGCTTGTGTAGAAGAACTGGGTTGCTCTTCGTACCATTCTTCCTCGCCTGTCTCTTGGACGTTGCGAACTTTTCCTTTTCCTCCTTGTCCTTTTCCTTTTGGTGGCGACCAACACTCCGAAGAGTAATGTCCGGTCTTACCACAATTGAAACATACAGGTCCATTTTGTCCACCTTTTCCTTTTCCTTTATCACTCTCGTAGCCTTTTCCTTCGGCCTGCCTGATGCTCTTTCCTCCTTTCTTTCCGTATCCTTTTCCTTTTCCAAAACCTCTTCCTTTGGGAGGCGGCGAGCGTCCGCGGCCCGTGGGCCCTCGTCGTGCACCGAATTAACCGTGCTTTGCACGGTCATCCTCCTTTGGAGGGCATCGCCCGTGGGCGGAAGAGGCTACAGCCTACGGGAGAGATGCTCATCCCAGATGTGCAAAGGAGTGCAAGCACGTCCTGGAGAGTGTGACACGTCCCCGCCCTGAGCTACGGCTCTACGGCAAAACTGACAGGGCAGCACATCGAGGAGTGAAGCACGTCCTCAAGCCAGGAGTGAAGCACGTCCTGGAGGGAGTCGAAACATCCCATACCTCTAGCCCTCGGGGGGCCCCCTGAAAGAGGCGAGGTATTCTGCGACGGCCAGCACGTGGGCTGCCGTCATGAGGTGTGCTTGCATATGTTCCGGGCTCGGTGCCCTCACGTGACACGGGATGCACCAGAGCATATCCACACTCACCACTGGGGGGCGTGCTGTCCTGATGCAGCTCAACCCCCTCGGCTGTGGTGGCGTACAGCCTGGCCGTGGTGGATGGCACCCTCATGCACAAGGGGTCTCCCAGAGGGATCGTGTCTCCTCTGGGAAAAGGCGCAGGGCTCCCAAGTTGTAGCCCGCGTTTGCATGTCCTGGCACTGGCAGCCTTATGACCTGCAGCTGCCCTCCTGCCCGGCACTCCACGTCGACTCGGTAGAGCCACTCCGGAGGTGGGAGAGGGTTCGGGTCAGGGTTCACCTCTCCTAAGCTCTCGGCCTCCGCCTCCAGAAAGGAGTTTTCATCCCCTGCCGGGCCGGCGGTGGGGCCTGCTCCGTGCTCTGACCCGGGGAGCTCTGGTGGCAGGGATCCTTCCCTCCTGGCAGGGGTGCTGGGCTGAGCTGGGTGCTCAGGCGGCTGCTGCTGCTGCGGCTGCTCAGGCCGCGAGGCCTCTAGCTCCTTCCTCTTGCTCCGGCCCTTCCTCCTCCACCTCTACCTCTGCGGGGGAAGTTGGCTCCCCGTCGGGCGTACCCATGGCATCATCTGCCTGCTCCTCCTCCAACTCCCCGGCCTCCATCTTGTCCGGGGCGGTGGCTCCTCCGGAGATCGGAGCGTCCGAGAGTGGTACGCGCCCAGGTGCTGCCAGGCTTTTGCAATCGGTGCGTCGGCAGCGGTTGAGTGGTGCCCGGGTGTGGCAGTGGGCACTTTTTCGGCACTGGCACCTGGTTCGAGGGCGCGGCCGTCGCGCTGGTGCCTGGTGCTCCGGTGCTTCGGTGCCGCCGCTTCCTGGGATTCGGCGGGCTCCCGTGGGCGCATGTTTCGCGTCCAGCTGGACCGCGAAACCCGCGTGGCGTTCGGGTTTGCGGCCTTGCGAGACCGAACAAACGCCTGGTATTGGGCCTCTTACTCCCGGGACCGGGAGAGCGCTATTGGGGAGATCCACTGCCCTGTCTTCCCCGGCCCTGGGCTTGGTCTCGAGGGGCTTGGCTTCCCTCACGAGGGGCTCGGCTCCCCTCTTTGGCATGCTTTCTCTTTGCCACTGCTGGCTCCTCCTTTTCCTTTTCCTCCGCCTCCTCCTTTGGACCCTCCTTGGCCCTTGCCTCCTTTAGCGGGAGGCCCCATCCCGTGTGCGGAAGAACCTATGCAGGCCGGCAGCTGAGCTACCACTACCTGGGGCTCTAACCGGCTTAGGGGATTGGTGAGGTTGAGGGGAAGTCTGGGCAGAGTTTGCTGAGGGCTCGCTGTGGCTTCGGGAGGGGACGTGTTCGGGGCGTGTCCCGGTTTCGAGCTTCGAGCCTGAAACAGCTGCCGGAGTTTGGGTTGGGCTTCGTGCTGCGCTTGGGGCTTAGGCTTGACCCTTTTCCTGTCAACTGCTGGGCATGCCTTGGGTTGTGGGGCCAGAGAGGGGGTAGCCGCAGGGAGTGAGGAGCTAAGCATACTCGCGGCAATCTGCCCCTTCTTCAAACGCGTAGGCACACACTGACTACACAGGGTCTTGGAGGGTTTAGAGTGCCCTGGCCTAAGCTGCGCGCCACACTTTTTGCACATCCACCTGTCGCCAAGGTTGTGCATGTCGTGTGACCCATGCACTTCCAGCTCAGCTGGAATGGGGCGCTCCCTGTGCCGACAGGGGTGGGCGGCTATGCGGTTGAAACGCCACAAGGGCATGAGCTGCTTAATGTACAGCCCGCACACCAAGCACGCCGCGGAGGCGATGGCAGTGGGGTGGGCCTCCCACGTGTGCCCGCCGGTGCCCTCTTTGATGAGGGCCTCGATCCGTTGGCGTTTGTTCTCCCCTCCATCTGCGGCTGGCCTGGGCCGATGGTGCGGGGGCTGTGTTGCAGGGGTCGCAGGCTCTCGCGCGCCCTTGGGGGTATGCTTCTTCCCCTTCTTGCGTTTGGGTGTTCCCTCCTGGGTCAAGTCCCAGGGTGGCTGCTCTTTGGAGACCAGCAGCACGGAAGCCCTGTGCTGCAAGAAGAGCGTCACCTCACGCACTAGGTCGTCGATCTCGTCTGGACACCATGGGCCCACTTGGGCCGTGGCCCGGGCCGCCGCTTTCCGGCAGAGTTGGTCGGCCGCGTCGTTTATCTGCTGTCTCCAGAGAGACGACTCTCCGAATTCAGCGCTGAATCCCTCCGCGGTCACGTGTGACCTGACCCACGTCAGTGTCAGTGAGGCGTGCGCTCGCCGGTCGCCCCCCTGTAGCCACGGCCAGCTGACTCCCAAAGACTTTTGCTGCCGCAGCATCCCAGCGCAGTCGGTGGTGATATCTGCGACCCCTGGTGTGCGGGCGCACACGCGGGCGATCGCGTAAGCTTCGGCCTGTGGCACCGTGGTGCCCGGCGGCAATACGCCACAGGCGGACCCGACCTGCCTGAGCCCATCGGGGGCACGCTGGAAGATGACCACGCTCCACGCCGCTACGCGGCCGCGGGGGTCGTTGCCGTGGGCACCCGCAGTCCCGTCCGTGCCGTAGAGGTACTCAGGGGCCCACTCCCTGGCAGCTGCGACCCCGGTGACCTCCTCACTCTCCGGGCCCCACGAGTACCCGCGGAGCTGGGAGGCTTTTGCCGGAAAGAGGCTCTCGAAGCGGTACTTCTCCCTGAGCCGTGCCCAGTTGGCCGGTGCGGGTGGGGCGCGGCCCTTCCACCACAAACACTCCTGAGCAACGCGCAGGGGAGTGGGCACTGCTCGCCGGGCCGGATCAACCGGGAGCGCATGGGCCCCTGGTGAACCATACGAAATCCCCGGCGCGGGCGTTGCTAGTCTTGCCCTTGGTGAGGAGGCGTCGGACCGTGTGGTCGATCCCCCGGTCAAGCGACTCGCAGCCTGTTTGCCTGCTGATGGCCTCGTGCCGCCTGCGGTCGGCCAGGGCCATAAGGCACGCCTTTATTGGTTGGTGAGCCAGGGGGTCCAGGGGGTTGGGCAACCTGGTGCTCGCCCGCTGGCTGGCCAGCCAGTGTGGCCGGGCACAAGTCCGCCGAGAAGAGCCATCGATGAGGGGAGGAGGCCTCGACCCTCAGTTCGAGCAGGTAGCCGATCATGGCGCCCACCGGCCCACAAATGATCTTCCACCGGTCCTTCCGCTGGAGCTGCTCCCAGAAAAAGAGCCACGTACGCTCCAACTGCTCGCGGTCCGGCAGTGCACAAAGGACTTTGCCAAGGGCCGCCCAGTGCTGACCAATTATGGAGGTGCGCGGGTCTTTTGTCGGTGGGCCACCAAGCTCAAGCGCAACCTCCACACTGCCAGTCATCACCCGCCTGGACACCTGCGCGGCCTGAAAGCGAATGCTCTGCATGACCTTGGGCGACACCCCTTGGGACTGGTGTCCCCAGTTTCCCGATGCCATGACGCTCATGGAAAAGAGCCGGGACCACACCCGGAGGGCCGGCAAGCGGAGCGATTGGAGCTTCGCAAAGCGTCGGTTGGCCTTCAAGCGACGCGCCGCCGACTGGAAAGTGGTCCGGCGCCGCCCGGCTGCGGTTTCCATGCCAAGGTCCTTGGTGGTTTGGCGCACCGGGGGGTCGCCCTTCCCCAGTTTTCGGCGGAGTGCGCGTTCCGCCTCTGGCGAACTGGCCAGGAAATGTGTCTTGGAGGCAGACACCTCGTTGCCCTCCGCCTCCAACGCGTCGTGAAGACGGCGAAAGAGGGTGACAATCCCGGCGGCGGCGCGCTCAGGGGTTTTTTGGACGACATCGGCCGAGACGTCGCCCACCCAACACCCTACGTAGTCCGCCAGGGAGCCGGCGCACGCTGCCCTGATGGGCTTTCCTATCGATAGCTTCGATAGGAGAGGAGCTAGCGGACAACCCGCTACTATTCCTCTCGCCGCGAAAACGCATGGTGATGCGACAGAGTCGGCAGTCACGATGCGACCGCCACGATAAGCTTGCATCCCTAAGTTGAGAAGAAGCGGCGGGAAGCCCCAATGGGCTGCTTCTTCGCACAACTTTTCGTGGCTAACGCGTTCATAAAAGGTGCTTAAATCGAAGAAGATGGTGCACCGATGCACCTTGTCGATTCGGCATGCCTCGTAGAGGAACGCGCGCCGCAGGGATGCATCGTGCGTGCTGCGGGATGGCAGGGCCGAATCCCACCACAGGGATGCCCGGTTGGCCTCGATCCATGAGCTTGCAAGCTCCCAACGGCACTTTATGCCTAACTTCAGGAAGGTGGACATGAGGCCGATTGGCCTCTCCACCTTCTCGTTTTTTGGGAGCATTACGTACTGAGTGAAAGAGGCCTGGTGAGGAAGGACGCCTTCCAACTCCACCTCTCTCCACAGGTCGGCGAGGGTATGAACCTCCTCGATGGAGAGGGATTTCAGGAAGGGCACATCCCATCCGTCAAGCCCGGGGGCTTTGCACGGCATCGAGCGGATGTACCGATCGATACATTTGGTGCCCCGTGACCGCGGGAAGCAGCCTGGCTTGCTCCACAGCCTTCTGGCGAAGCTCCAGAAAGGAGGAGGCTGGTCTTCCCCGGGCTTGCCACAGAGTGGCCCAGTACTTGAGCCGCTCGTAAGGCCGGGACTCAGCTGAGACCTCAGTGAAGGGTCTCGTGACATTGGTCTCAGCTTTGGAGAGGCAGCGAAAGAGCGGTCGCATGCCACGCCGGGTGCCAATCACGAGCCATTCGGCCACCGTGTCGGTCTCAGCCTTCCGGGCCCGTTGGTGCTCCTCATCGCGGAGCTCTCGGACCACTGCAAGGGTTGAAGGCCGGCCCTCTTCCGCCGCCGCCGTGCCAAGGGCGCAGAGGAAGTCTTGGGGAGAGGAGGCCTCAGTCCCCTGAGCTTTAAGGTGGAGGGTAGTCGCCTCCACCGCATCGGGAGGCATATTGCCCACCAACGCCTCAATTCGCCGAAGGTGTCTCTTCGGGTGCTCCCAAAAGGAGGCCATTCGGCTCCAGAAAGCAGCTACGTGGTAGGACCAGTCTGCTGCATGAGGGGCTTGTGCTGGAGGGGGTTGTTGGTGCCTCGCCCTCCGTCGGTGGTGTAGTGACGTGCCGCCATCCCAGAAGTGATGCCCGCGAAACGGCAGGTCAGGGGGTCCGACCGGATAGGATGGGCCCCGATTGTCCCCAGACCGGGAGCCACATACGCCGGGTCGGCGGGAGCCGCCTCATCCCGCAAGGCCCCTTGGTAACCAGTCAGCTGAGGCAGCGACACCAGACCCTGCTGGACAGTGAGGGTGAAGGAGAGCGCGGCGTGGGGCGCAAAGGGAACCTCCCACTCCGTCCTAACGCTGGTCAAGGAAGCCAGCGGCCGAGCTAACAGGGCGTAGTCGAGGGTATTGCCCGTGTTGATAGTCGGCCCCTCGGGTGCAAGAAGGGATCCCCCCACTGTCTCGGCCCACGATGTGCCCAGAAACTCGGAGGGAGGAGCGTTCCAGTCCCCAACAGCGATCCAATTGCGGTGCTCCCGGAGCACCGGCCTGAGGGCCGCGAGGACATCAGGGTTGCATCCTGCGTGGATTCCCACTGCGCTTTGGAGGTACACGCAGACGACCATGAGAGTCCATCGCAGGCGCGGCAGGGCGATCGCCACGTAGCCACAGCCCTCCTCAGTGATCATACCCCCGCAGGCTTGACCCTGCATATGGGAGGGAACCAAAAGGCCGATGCCACCACGTGTGGGATAGGGCCGATCGCCCTTTGGCGGCGTGAAGAGGTGGAAACCGCACTTGGATGCCTCGATGCGAAGCTGGTTGAGGCCCTCGGCGTTGAGGTGCAGCTCCTGCAATGCTAGGATTCCCTTCGTTCATTCATGAGCCTAGGGGTACTTCTCAGCAGGGGTACTTCTCAGCCACTACCGAAGATTTAAGAAGATTGTTGAATTATTTGGAAGATTGTTGAAGAAAAACGAATTATTTGGAAGATTGTTGAAGAAAAATGAATTATTTGGAAGATTATTGAAGAAAAAACAAATTATTTGGAAGATTGTGGCAGAAATGCGAATTATGTGAGGGTTTCAATTTGAAGCTTAAACACGGTTTAGGGTTTAGGGCTCATGGTTTAGGCTTCCTGGCACGGCTCGAGGACCTGCCAAAATGGAACACCGAGGTTTAGGGTTTAAAGATTCTAGGTCTAGTATTGGTCAGCTTCGGGGCCCACAAAGTTTAGGGTGCCAACTTCCGAGGTTCAGGGTTTAAAGGTTTAGGGTTTAGGGCTTACGGTTGTTCGGGTCTAAAGGTGTAGGGTTTAGGGTTTAGGGTTTGGGTGAAAACACCCACTTTGTGGGAGTACTAGAGTTGAAAACAAATATGAGTAATCGAGTAGTGAAGTAATAGAGTAATAGAATAATAGAGTAGTAGACTAATAGAGTACTAGAGTATTTGAGTAATAGAGTAATAGAGTAATAGAGTAATAGAATAATAGAGTAATGGAGTAACAGAGTAATAGACTATGTGTGTGGAAAATTGAAACCCTTTGCTATGTTCGCGAAGCGAGGACTTTTTTTTGTTTTTTATGCAAAATTCATGCAAATGCTTTTGGTGCGAGTGTCTGGAGCAAGCCTTGTAGTGTGTGTGGAGTACTAGAGTTGAAAACAAATATGGATGTTCGCGAAGCGAGGAAATTTTTTTTTTTTTATGCAAAATTCATGCAAATGCTTTTGGTGCGAGTGTCTGGAGCAAGCCTTGTAGTGTGTGTGGAGTACTAGAGTTGAAAACAAATATGGATGTTCGCGAAGCGAGGAAATTTTTTGTTTTTTTATGCAAAATTCATGCAAATGCTTTTGGTGCGAGTGTCTGGGGCAAGCCTTGTAGTGTGTGTGGAGTACTAGAGTCGAAACCAAATATGGATGTTCGCGAAGCGAAGAAATTTTTTTTATGCAAAATTCATGCAAATGCTTTTGATGCGAGTGTCTGGAGCAAGCCTTGTAGTGTGTGTGGAGTACTAGAGTTGAAAACAAACATGGATGTTCGCGAAGCGAGGAAATTTTTTTGTTTTTTATGCAAAATTCATGCAAATGCTTTTGGTGCGAGTGTCTGGAGCAAGCCTTGTAGTGTGTGTGGAGTACCAGAGTTGAAAACAAATATGGATGTTCGCGAAGCGAGGAAATTTTTTGTTTTTATATGCAAAATTCATGCAAATGCTTTTGGTGTGAGTGTCTGGAGCAAGCCTTGTAATTAGTGTGTGTGGAGTACTAGAGTTGAAAACAAATATGGATGTTCGCGAAGCGAAGAAATTTTTTGTTTTTTATGCAAAATTCATGCAAATGCTTTTGGCGCGAGTGTCTGGAGCAAGCCTTGTAGTGTGTGTGGAGTACAAGAGTTGAAAACAAATATGGATGTTCGCGAAGCGAGGAAATTTTTTGTTTTTTTTATGCAAAATTCATGCAAATGCTTTTGGTGCGAGTATCTGGAGCAAGCCTTGTAATTAGTGTGTGTGGAGTACTAGAGTCGAAACCAAATATGGATGTTCGCGAAGCGAAGAAATTTTTTGTTTTTTTATGCAAAATTCATGCAAATGCTTTTGATGCGAGTGTCTGGAGCAAGCCTTGTAGTGTGTGTGGAGTACTAGAGTTGAAAACAAATATGGATGTTCGCGAAGCGAGGAAATTTTTTGTTTTTTTATGCAAAATTCATGCAAATGCTTTTGGTGCGAGTGTCTGGAGCAAGCCTTCCATCACGTGTCAATCGGCTTTATATGGCTGAGCGTCCTTATAAATTAAGCGTCCTTATAAATATGCCTTTTGGAAGCATCGATTCTGCTTCCTGAGTTCCGGTGTCGTGATCAAAGTTTCTTCGTGACTTTTGTTGATTTTCGCGTGGCATAAGCAACATTTTGCTCATGATGCTTCAATGATTATGATGATTTCAATCAGAATCAATGTGGAATCCTTAACAACTACTAGAGAATGTATTCGAATTAGTAGTATTACACATGCTCGCTGATATGTCGCTCGCATATATTGATGATGCTGCAGCTGTCTGGCCAAATGTCCGAAGACATCGGGCGGAAAGCTCGGCACATAGCGGCCCAGTTGCACTTGAGTTGTGTGCGCCCTGATCAAGGCGAAAGGGTTCGCCGGACAGGTTCGCTAGCTCCAAAGAGTTCCCTGAAATACCTGTGTTGCAGACAAGCCTTTGCGTGGTGTGGTGCTGTTCATGAGCCCCGGTGCTTTACCAAAACAGCTGTGAAACGTGCGCTAGAACGCCTCCTCGACCACTACAAAGTAGACGTGCCGTTGTGTCAGGCTGACGGGCTCACTCGAGCAGACTGGCTGAAGAGGCAATCCAAAACGATACAGCATCTTTGCAAACGGTCTGTTAAGAACTCGTTGGTGCCACCACGTGGCAAAGAAGCCCTTGCAGCCATGGATGATGTGGAAACTCAGCCGTGGAGCACGGAGGACGAATACTGACATGCATATATAGGATCAGTGCATGACATACTCTGCTGCAGGAAATGACTGCAGCGCCGGCTGCGCATGATGGTGATCCTCCTCCAGCCACCCGAGAGCAATATACATGACTGCTTCATGCAAGAAGTGTCTGCATGCGACCAGATGTAAAAATCAGGTCAGACTTCATCGCAAAAGCGCACTGAAGCGCAAGGCCCAGTACATGCATGCACCCATTATCTAGCATGTATACTTAATTATGTACCAGCACTTATCTACATACGGCGCTACAAACGAGAAAAAATAGACGACACAGCAAACACGAACTTAGTTCGGACACGAGAGGGAAATTCGAAAGGAGTGCGTATATACATACGTGTAGAGATCCAGACATAGCTCGCATCGCCTCTAAATTAGGCCCTAAAGCCTGGCCTGCAAACGCTAATCGGAAACCCTGATGCAGGTCATGTGTGCATCCAGTCTTGTGCCTGCAGTCAGTTGCACGCGGTCTGAACTTGTAACGTCATTTTTGCACCGTCGCCCAAATGATCCATGAACGCTGCAGGCTGCGTCGGCTGAATCGGTGGCTACCTTGGATGCGCCCACGAGGGTCTGGGGTGACTGGAAGGATGAGGATGAGGATGCTGAGTACAAGGCCAGTTGTGCTACAGCCTATATAGATCACCAATGAAAACTACACTGTTATGTGCACGCAGGCTCTTTGCGATGATTCATGGATGTCTGGGCACCTGCAGGCTTGCATTCGTTTACACATGTACATACCATGCATGCGCCCACATGGTTGATAGTCATTTCTGCGATTCTCAAGGACTCCGGGGACGATGCACTGCACCATCCTGCAGGCAGGTTTTTATTGCGGTGATCTTTTAATTCGTGCGTATAATCTGATGTGTGGATCACACGCAGGGGAATGGGGTGACGATGATGGCCAAGCCGAGTCTTGGGTCGCAGACGCTGGCCCAGAGAATCCATGGTCTACCGGTGATCAGGATGACACGTGGGGCGAGGCTTCGGCAGATTCAGATCCCAAGAACCTATGGCCTGCTGATGAAGGCTGGGATAACACGTGGGTCGAGGCGTCTACAGATTCAGATCCCCAGAATCCGTGGCCTGCTGCCAGACAGCAGTGAGTTGCAGAGCAGTTCGGGATGTAGAGGGCTGATCGATGGTACGGGTTCATGACAGATCAGTACGTAGCAGCCGAATTGAGGCTGAGAAGAAGCCAGCTTTGCATCGACGAATCTCCTGGCGTGATGAGAATGGATCCTCGTTGGAGTTGCCAGCTGCCAAACAGCAATGAATTGTCAATATTGCAGTAGATTGATGGTTTTCCAACTCAATATAGATCAGCAGCAGTACTAGCACTGCCGAAGGATGTGGCTATGGATCCTGGCCAGACAGAGCCGCTCGGAAATTTTGCTGTTGTCAGTGCGACGACACATATACTGCATGATCTAAGGGAGTGGCCGATGGATGGGAACGAGCACCCAGATGATCAGGCCACCAACCGCATATAGCATTAATTAGCAACATGTCGGTGTCGATCTGCAGTTACATGAATTCGAGCAGGAGCATCTGATCAGCAGGCATCGGCACAGCAGCAGTAGCAGTAGTAGTGGTAAGGATTTCCCGGACCCCACCAACGACGAGATCTACGAGAGCTTCATCCAGACCATGGGCATCGACTTGGACGAGGAGGCTCGACTGCACACGCCTAGCTTCCGCACAAACAATACAATTGCCGTTGATTTGGTGCAGGAGCAACCTGAGCAACCCGACGACGGGCAGAATGGTGATTTGGTCAATCACGACATGCAGGAGGCCAAGGAGGCGCATGCCACCGAATCGAGTGATCCACATGCATATGCGCATGCAGGTTAGCTGTGTGTGTGTGTATGTATATATATACAGGTTTGTATAGGGGTACATGTATCATGTCGATGTACATATAGGCAGCGAAAGACAAGACCCGAGTCACGACGGAGCCAGAGTCTGGTCAGCTTTAAACATGGATGTCTTCATATGGAAGGGAGTGACAGACATAGACGAGAGAGAGAGAGAGAGAGAGAGAGAGAGAGAGAGAGAGAGAGAGAGAGAGAGAGAGAGAGAGAGAGAGAGAGAGAGAGAGAGAGAGAGAGAGAGAGAGAGAGAGAGAGAGAGAGACAGACAAATAGAGACCAAGGAGCCGGTACATCCATTTCCTGGCAAGCCGGATCGTTCGACCCGGCCGATCAATCCCCATGCCCAGAGGCTGGTGCTGGCCAGCAAGCAGCCAGTGGAGTATCAGAAGCCCAAAGGAAGCCCAAAGAGCAAAGCAAAGGCGAAAGCAAAGGCGAAAGCAAAGACCACCACCAAGAAACCCAAGGCAAAGGCCAAAGCAAAGGCCAGACCAGATGGAAGCCTAACCCCCTACACAGCCGCTTTTGAGTCGTTCAAGGAACAGCCACCAAGCCGCACATAGATGCTCAAACGATGTCGCTTCAAATCGTTTCGTGGATTCGCAATCATGGTGTAGCTTCGAGAATGAGGCTTTTGGAGACCGAGCCGGACCTCAAGTTGAAGGACGTGAGGAATCGGTGCATTGTCGGCTTATACACGTGTGCTGCCATTCCTGCTCTTGCGTGCTTAGACGAAGCATCCAAGGTGGTGGGTATCCGATGAGCGTACGACTGTCCTCTCCACCATTCCGGTTAAGGAGCAGAAGAAGCGCCGCTATATCTAGAATCTAGATGAGATGACGAGTTGCATGGGGCAGGCTTAAATTTTGATGCACCGGTAATCCGTCGATCTTCAAGCCTGCTTTGGCATTGCAAGTAACACTCTTTCATTGCGACTTCAAGCCGCCTGTGTGTCGTCACATTTTGTTCCGGTCACGAACGACTGCGAGATATCTTTCAAGTAGATCACACAGCTGCCGGGGGTTAGGCGAAACAGTGAGCGACTCCGATATATTGTCATGATCCTTCGAATCAGGTGCTGATCGGCATGCATCCAAAGCTTGTGTCCATGAATGTGTGCATGCAGTCGGTATATTTCGCAAGCTAGATGCACCAGCCTGCCTGCATGTGTGCACGGTCTCCTGTGTAACTAGGTCAGGCAAGCTTTCTGAAACTAGCACCAGTGCCCAGCTTTACATTGAAAACGTTTCAAGTCGGCAAGCATGCGGTACTCCGTGCTGGCCTACATCCTCACGAGCCTGAATGCGAGCCAGATACCCAGCTGCTCCACATCAGCACTGCAAGTCGATGCCAGCTATACACGAACCTGCATGCAGGTTTGCCATTGGAGACAGACAAGTATGTCCACCTGGTGGAGTTTTTTGCAGGCCTCTTGCCTGCATGCGACACAATTAAACCAAACAAACCCTTTCAACTACGCAGTCCGGCACATATATGTGAGGAACTGGAACACTGGCGGCTGCTGCTGAATCATTGGGCCTGGCTTCGAGGACTTACGATGTGTCGTTTCGGCATTATACAAGCTGCGGTTGAGTTGTTCGAAACAAGTGTGCTCATTGCACACACGTGCCCGAGGTGATCGAATCCCCCCAAATGGATCTCTGCAGTGGCTTCGGCTTTCTACTGGCATTGAACCTCGACGCTCAGCTTCCAAAGCTTACGGAAAATGCAGCAAAAGACCGAACACCGAAACTATATATCTAAGGTTCGCCACACCATCGAAGGCGGCCTCGTCTTCTTTGCAATTCCCTGCGCCAGTTGGGTCTTCATGTGGTAACCTCAGATCACGCAGTCTTAACTCTACATACAGGGGCGGGCTTTGTTTGGAGAATACAGCTACATGCGGGTTTGGGCTAATGGAACAGTTAGTTCCTTGGGTTAAGAAGTCGGAGCTTTACTGTATGTGTGTACGAATTAGGTCTCAATTCTGGTGCTTCCTGACTTTTGTGGGGCTTTGAAGGGGTCGTGTCGGTTCTTGGAAGACTGTGACATTAGAGGGTTGTACTCTGGGATTGTTGCAGGGCTCTGGGCTTGTAACAGTGTCGCAAGTATGTTCTGACACCTTCTGCTGTTTTCCGGGGTGTTGATTATATAGGGTGCACTAACTGCACCAGGTTTCGGGTTTATAGGGCTGCAGGAGTTTAGGGGTGCAGGGGTTTAGGGTTGGGCGCACGGGTTTATAGGGGTCCCGGGCTTCGGGTTTAGATCTTATAGGATCCTGTAGGGTTCAATTACTGCAGGACTTTGTATCAAGGCTTCGAGTCAGAATAAGGGTTATGCAGGCCCTGGCTAGTGTATGTTTTGATTGAGTTCATTGTTGGGCTTGAGGGTGCGTGTGTGTGTGTGTGCATGATAGTGAAAATTCAAGGGTGTGGCAACACGTGCCACATAGGCTTGGGTCACATGACGGCAAACACATGCTATCTGAGTTTCCAATCAGGGCTATTGGGAAAAGCGGTGGCTGTATGGGGTTTACATGGTTGACGTATAGGATATTGGGCATCATCTGGTACAACAGCGACGCTGTTGGGGTTCTGTTTTTAGTTCATATGCTCTTCGGAGAAGTATGCATGTGCATAGAACATCGAAAACGTCAGATTCTGAGGTCCTATCTAGGATTTGGGTTGTTCGAGACTACACATACACCGATCAGATCTATAGCTGCGATTGTTTGGGTTAAGTGTGTAGGGTTTCCGATAGATAGTGTGCATGTTCAAATGCAACCACCGAAATCCTGCCATCTTGAAACAGCCGGGAACCCCGAAGTCAATATAATGAACGGTATAATTGAAGGTCCTAGACATGTGCGATTTTAGCAGCACTCGGCAGCTCACAAAGCAACATCGTACTGCGGCACACTCGAGCTACCATTATGCACTGTACGCAACGCTATTGCAGCTACGTGCAACACTGTGCGCAACGCTATCGCTACAGCCGCAGAATTACCTGAGCACGCATGTAACGCTTGGCCGGCTGCTGCTATCTGACTTAAGAACGAAGGAGGCTACGTGATGAGCTCATTCTGTGACGAGCTCCGGCAATAAAGCCGCACAGAGGGTGCTGATTCATTAGCTCATGGCCATGTGCCGCGGTTGTGCGATCTGTCTTGATGAAACGAAGAGGCATGACGACTTCTTTTTTGGGGGGTCTATGGGTAGTATATACTTCGGGGCATTGGGATGTGGGTGCACGGACGACTATAGCTGAGTGCATGGCCGGTCAACACTTTGCAGTATCTTGAGTGATTCCCAGGCTGCCAAGAGATCGTCCATGCTATGTTCTTCATGCTTGCCGCGGGATCTGCGAGTGATGACGGACGACTTGTGATTTATACGTGCAACACTGCTAGTGCAGCAAAGCCCTCAGCAAACCAAGATGGGAAAACCGATTCCGCTTTGCATGGCATTGGTTGAGCGATCTGCGAAGACAAGCAATGACGGACGAAGGCGACTGATCATGAACCCATCCGGATTGCGATTTGAAAACATGTTCTTAATTGTTGCGTCACGGCATGGCAAGCATGAAGATCTCGCGATTCCGAGCATGTTGCATGGCCGACTGCATGGCATGACCGCATTCGCTTGCCGTTGAATGTCGCATGAGGCGCATATATTGTCACTCGCCAGACCACAACTTATATTTTTGTACAATGCGTCTATCTTGGAGAGCGAGACATAAATACACCGAAGCAAAACAAGTAGCTCCGTACCGGCATGCATGTATAACTCCTTAATTAATCCTCGTATATAAATATGTACACACATACAGAAGACCTATTTGTACATACACACACCCTCCTATTACCCGCAGTAAGAAGAATAGTGGTTGCACCATGCATGTGTGTATGTGTACATATATTGCTACATTGACGTCTACACATGCATGCATGGACCAGCACATTACATATATCGCACATAATATTAATTAACACACATAGTTACATATACATAGGCACACAATTGTGCGCCTATGTATATGTATTTATGTGTGTAAAGAATCATCCACCTAATGCTTGAGTCTCTCTGCATGGTCGGCCAAGGTCGCGGGGATCATCGAGAAGATCTTGGCTGCGACCGCAAGGACCAGTGTCGGCAGCATCATAGCAGTATCTCAGATGGGGGATTTCGTGTATCGACATCTGCAGGACTGGGCAACAAATGTGCTATGGGCAACCGCCTCTGTCGCCGAATGTGCTATTTGCTCCTAAGCAGCATCATATAGTAGCACCGAATTAAGAACCGATCCACAATACTGCGATCCTCATCTAAGGCTGAAATATGCACTGGCCAAAAATGTCAACTTTGTCATTGAGAACCCCAGTTCGACCTTGCTTTGGAGATATGTGCCTCTCCGGGAGCTTTGGCAAAGAATGTTGCGCTCCATAGTAGCATCTCAATCAGTTCGAATTGTACCAGCTGTGGTGGATCATTTTGTGTCTGCAACCGAGAAGCTGCTTCGGAAGATGAAGTTCATGAAAGTGACCATACACCTGGGATGCTATGGGTCGGCAACCCCTAAGGCTGCCCCCAGGACGGCAAATGTGTTTGAGAGGTTCGGGATTCAGCTGTGTGCCACATCAAGACAATTTGTCTTATCTGAGGTCACGTTGGTTGGAAATTGGGAAGGGCTCCGACAGCTTCGGAGGACCTTGCACAAAGAACGCAGGCTGGGCACGAAACCTCGACTTTGACGAACCCACGACAGTAGATCCTATCGGGTACCTTTCGTGGTAGAAGTCTAAGCCATATGTCAGGTGCCATCTGCGACGAGTTCGAAGCTTCCTGAAAATCCAGAATGTCGTCCGTTGGAAGAATGCCAAGGGGCAGTCCAAGTGCGTCGGTGTCTCATGTGCAGAATATCAGGTCCTTGCAATATGGCTTTGAAGCTCTAGCCGTGTCTTATAATGATATCACACTGGGGCTAGCCTTATAAGGCCGGAGGTCGAGATCTCGAAGCTTCCAAAGCCTATCCTGCTGGCTTCGGCATCGAGGCTCCGGTGGGGATGATTTGGGGGGTCTAGCTCTGCACTGGCGATCTCTTGCTCATCCATCTCTCTCTCTCTCTCTCTCTCTCTCTCTCTCTCTCTCTCTCTCTCTCTCTCTCTCTCTCTCTCTCTCTCTCTCTCTCTCTCTCTCTCTCTCTCTCTCTCTCTCTCTCTCTCTCTCTCTGTCTCTGTCTCTGGAGCACCCTTGGTTTTGCTTCGAAGGGACGTGCTCCGTCGGACTTCTGCCGGGAGTCATTGCATGAAATAGTTTAATATTCATGGATCACGAGGACACAAGAACCACGACAGCTATAAGAACCATCAAGTCGTTCTGAGTTCGTGGGAGAGCAAGAGTTAATTTATATCCCGGAATCACACTATATGCTGGGGCGACCTCAGATGATCTCCAATTCTCCAATGTTCTCCTCGTACATCACAAGACTCCGATGGCATAAAGCACCGCTGCTTAATCCATAGTGTCCAAGCTAACATCTGTAGTCTGGGGCCCCAGATCATCGGGATCATTATAGGCAGCAGATCGCGAGCGCAGCAAATCGATGCGCTCGTGCACGTCGCAGAATGACTCCACCAAGTCCTCCTCAAAGGACTCTAGACGCGAACGCAGAGAGCACACTTCACTCGATACTTTATCCAGCCATGACCGCAATCTCGATAACTCTGAAGACAAGCAATTGAGCTGTTCTACCGCTGTAGTGACGACGACCCAGAGCGCACTTAGCCTCTCAGCTTCCGTGGCATTATAAGCGGCGGGCTCTACTGCACGGGCCATCTACCGACAACTGATGCTCGAGCTGTCACTTCTTCGGTTCAACATGTCAATAAGAACTGTCCGATGCCTCTGGAGCTCTCTGTCTCTCTCTGTCTCTCTCTCTCTCTCTCTCTCTCTCTCTCTCTCTCTCTCTCTCTCTCTCTCTCTCTCTCTCTCTCTCTCTCTCTCTCTCTCTCTCTCTCTCTCTCTCTCCCAAAGTTATCTTGCGCCAGGTGGCCCGGATCTTGCAGTCGCAGTCGCAAGAGCTGCAGATAAGGATCCGTCCCGATGATGAGCTGCTTTTCCGTGATGACTCCTCCGAGTGCAGTTCAGACAGAGGATTAGGCAATGTCATGTGAGTTCTGCGAAGCTTCGCACTGCCGGCTGTTCGGACATGTGTGTGTGTTGCAATTTATGCATACATGTGCAGCAGACTACCATAGCTAAATTAGATCTTCTCAACAGTCTTCTTTGCTGATTGTGACGGCAGCCAGCTATTGCTAGAGCATGCCAGCTGGATCTGACTACAACCTGCGAGTTGAACAAAGTTCCCAGACGCTGGCCGCAGTTCTGTTATTGCCTGTTTGCTGCAGACAGAGAGACAGCCAGACCACAAGACAGACCGAGAAAGAGACAGATCAAGAGACTTGAAGTGTGTGCGTGTGTGTGTTCCATGTGCTGCATGCATGCACTCACGTATAATCGATCGGCAGCCTACACGAATGCTTCGATTTGTGCTGATGTGGGGGCCTGCTGCTAAATAGTGTGCGTGCTTTGGGGCCTGCACAAATGGGCAAGAGGCAGGAAAAGGCACGACTCGAGCGTTGGGCTGCGGCGGCCGGGGCGGGACGGGGTCCGGAGAGAGCGTGCCTTTGCGTGCCTTTTCGTGCCAGCGTCCTTATATGGGGCCCCAAAGCGTGCCTTTGCGTGCCTTTTGAAATTGGCCCCGGGGCCGACCGCGGTGGGTTGGGATTGGGTGCGTGCCTTTCCGTGCCGTGTGGGATCAAAGGTTTTCCGGCGGGTTTCGTCGATCAACATGGCGCCCAAACGTGCTGCAGAGCATGATTATGAGGGCGACGCTTGGAAGATGCCGCGGACCAGCGGCTGCGGCGGCGAGCTAAAGGGAGAAGGGTCCGGCAAAGGCACGCCGAAAGGAACCTCCAAGAGCGCAGGAGCAACGGAGCAACCCAAGGGATCCGGCAAGCAAGGCAAAGGCACTGCAGCAAAGGGATCCACCAAGAGCGCAGGAGCAACGGAGCACCCCCCCAAGGGAGCCGGCAAGCAGAGCAAAGGCACAGGAGCAACGGAGCACCCCGTTAAGGGAGCCGGCAAGCAGAGCAAAGGCACAGGAGCAACGGAGCACCCCCCAAAGGGAGCCGGCAAGCAGAGCAAAGGCACAGGAGCAACGGAGCACCCCCCAAAGGGAGCCGGCAAGCAGAGCAAAGGCACAGGAGCAACGGAGCACCCCGTTAAGGGAGCCGGCAAGCAGAGCAAAGGCACAGGAGCAACGGAGCACCCGACAAAAGGAGCCGGCAAGCAGAGCAAAGGCACAGGAGCAGCGGAGCACCCCCCAAAGGGAGCCGGCAAGCAAAGCAAAGGCAAGGATGCACCGAGAGCCCAGGAGCAACGGAGGACCCCAACCCCTCAAAGGGATCCGGCAAGCAAAGCAAAGGCAAAGGCGAGCTGAAGGGATCCACCAAGAGCGCAGGACCAGAAGAGCACCCACCCCCAAAGGGATCCGGCAAGCAAAGCCAGGCTGGTGAGAAGGTGGAACTCCGGAACCTCAACCCAGAGTCGATGAAACGATTTTTCGACACCGAGACATATGCATCGGCAAAGCCTAGCTCAGCAGCACCCAAGGGACCCAAAGGGATCTGGCAACAAGGGCCACAAGGGCACGGCTTTTTCTGGGGCCGGGAAGGGTGAGACAAGAGCCTTGTTGAAGGCCGTCCACGAGGAAGCCGCGGAGCTGTGCAACACGGAGCATGACCACGACGAGGATCAGCACTGGCAGCTGAGCATACACGACATGACCAATAGGGCAGAGATTGCAGACTCAGACTTCCAGAACCCCTGCGTTGTGCTACCCACTTGTGTTCTCGGCGAGTTGTCCAACATGCAGGCCAAACAACCAAGGCTGTGCCAGCAACGCCTAAGAAGCATAGCCAACAACAAAAGCATGTTCGATATGTTCAAGAACTGGCAGGCCCAGCACCACCCGACCCACACAACGGCATGGGGGAAAGCACCAGCAGCGCAGCTCATGCATCACAACAAGTTTCTGCTGGATGTTCTCCAAGGTGCCCAGCTTAATGCACTCGTGGGGGTTTATAGTTGCTCATGCACGCACGAACATGCCGTGTTGTGACTGCTGTTTTTGTCTGATCTGCTCTCTTCTCTCTCTATCTCCTCCCTCCTTCCATCCCTCCCTCTCTCTTTCTTTCGTCTCGTCTACGGCTATATGGTGTAGGGGGTAAAACTCTCTCTCGCTCTCTCTCTCTTCGTCTCGGCTCTCGGCCTGTGGCTGGGTGGGTGGCTTAGGTGGGTTTAAGGTGTGGGAGACAAAGAGAAAGACCAGAGAAAGATTTTACTTGGTTTCTGCGCAGGTACTTTGGAGCCTTCTACCGAAGTCGAGGAGGCCCATGACGGAGAGGAGGGCGAGGAGGCGGACCTAGAGGAAGATGAGGAGGAACAACCTGATCCTGATGATGCTGACGATGAAGACAAGGATCAAGGCTGGGATGAAGAAGGTGATCAGGAGGGCCAGGAGTCCGGTGACGCCGATCAGGGTGAGGAGTGGGCTGATGATGATGATGATGAAGGGATACCGACTTCGGGGTATCCGGATGATGAGGGTATGGATGCTGCCGACCCGCCTGCTCCGGCTTCCTACCCCAAGCCGCCCCCTGGTTGCACATGATCCGCTCGTGCATATATATGTGTGTGCGTGTGTATGTGTGTGTGTGTGTGTGTGTGTTAGTGTGCGACAGCTAGTTCACAGACACGGGTCAGGAAATCCATCCTGCGGGCGCCCTCCAGCATCAGCGTCCAGTCGGAGAAGTCCTCAATCAGCCCGGTGGGCGTGCGGGACGATGACGGCAAGGTGAGGAGGGCACGGACCCTATACCTATTTCGGTGCATGTGTTGCATGCATGCACCCCTCCTGCCATGAATCCCAGCTATAGGTCAGAGTCTTGGACGAAAAGACCCGGCAATCGATCCAGGACAGAGAGCCAGAGAGCCCACATTATCTCTACCGCGAAAGCAAGCCCAAAGATTGCACGCAGGCCATGACACACCCCAACCAGATGGACGCCGGGGAACGTCGCCGGCAGCGCGAGGCCATGAAGCGGCGCATGGAACGTCCTGAAGGAGAGCAGCGCTGCAGTGGTCGTTCATGATTGTCAAACAGCATATAGAGACTTCCACGCAGGACTCCCCCCGGGACTACTCGAAAAGTGGGAAGCAACCAGGAGCACCACAGGGAAGCTTCTCGGATAGTAACAATTAAAGCTACGCATGCAATGAGATCGCTATCCATATTGAATCCATTGTGACTATCTGACCCTGGAACATCCTTAAGGTTCGAATTTTTAAAGGCATTTATGCTTGACCCGAATATGGGCGATATGCACATCGAAGCGATCTACAGCGAGTGCTCGGGCAGCATTGATCATTTGCAGTGATCCACATCTACTGAGTATCAGAGATCACACGATCGCGGTTGCATTCTTTCAAGATCTATCTCAGGTATTCGGAGAAGCGGAACGAAGGCCACTACATCGAACTCCCTCTTCACGAACTAGAGAAGAGATACGGGGATACAGAAGAAGGCCGACGCTTTCTTCAAGAAGATATCCTGGCGAAACAGTCTGGGCGGGAGCATCCGCAAGCAAAAGGCAATGCCTCCTGGAGGCTGTATAAGGTGTATGAGTACGGAAAGGAGATCAGCAGCTGTGACGAATTCAGAGATGTCTTCATACTTGAATATCTAGATATCTAGAGATATCTAGAAATGACATGAAGAACCACGAGAGAGAGAGAGAGAGAGAGAGAGAGAGAGAGAGAGAGAGAGAGAGAGAGAGAGAGAGAGAGAGAGAGAGAGAGAGAGAGAGAGAGAGAGAGAGGAGAGAGAGGAGAGAGAGAGAGAGAGAGAGAGAGAGAGAGAGAGAGAGAGAGAGTGAGCGAGAGAGAGGGAGAGAGAGAAGAGGGAGCGAACCCAGAAGAGACACGACGACCAAGGTGCAAACGTGAACAAGGTGGGCACAAAGACCACAGCCAGGAAGCGGATCGGAAAAGCCGACGAAACCACGAAAAAGAAGCTCGGGGAGATCATGACTTCCCAAGCTGCCGACTTTGTGAAGGGTCTGGACGACAAGGGGAATAAGAAAGCTACAAAAGAGCCCAAGGACAGCATGTTTTCACTGTGAGATGTACACCACTCAATAACACTAATTCCATACAAATTCTGCAGTCCTGTCTGGAATGCTCATACAGCATCACTTCGCTTCGCAGGTTCTGACGGATGAAGAAGTGAGGAAACGTGATTTTGATAAGACGATGAGCCAGACGCTTGCCGAGCAGCCATGTGCGAACTTCTGTTGTCAGCATGCAACAGCTATAGGGCAGCTCCACGTTGTCCAGGATATTGTCCTTGGCTGCCAAAGCAAGAACAGTGGCCCAGAACCTTACACGTTCGGGTCTGGAGCGCCAGGAGGCCTGGATCCTGATTAATTGCGTCAAGACATGTAGCATTCTACCGCAGATTATCTAGAATCCGCAGCGGTAGTCTGATATACAATTCAAGATCCAGTGTAGTGGCCCACATTTATATTCTAGTTCCCGTAGTTCACAGCATCAAGAAACCACAATCCCTTATGCAATACAAACCCGCAAGAATTTCTAGACCCGTGCATTCACGCCCGAAATCAGGAGAACCACTGAGTTAATTCCGTTGCATGTTCAACGATCGGTGCTGCAGGCCAACATCAAGCACATGCAAGACGTGCACCAAGAAACCATGAGGATTCATGCAGAGTGCCTCGCTCGATCTAATCCGATTCAGACCACCTATATATAGTCCACTCCATGAAGATGTCTTTCTTATGCATTGCATGCATGCATGTGCCTCCAGGATCAACGAATGCGTCTTCGCAGGGTACGAGGATGAGTATGTTTACGAGAAGGTGGAGGAGAAACGAGCCGAGATCGAGGTTGGGTCTTAAGCCCGATTAATTACCCCAAACCTAGTAGATTATCAAACCCTCGATATATGCAGATTTGGCCCCTTCGGATGATGTATTCCAGCACGTGCCAGCACGGATCGAGGCCGCCAACAAAGCCGTCCTCTCAGCAGAGGATATCGTTGCCGGCCACTATCGCCGCTTCTTAAATGCACTTACAGTGTTCGGTATTTGCATGCATGCAAGCTAGCTGACTCGAGTCTCGATCTACACTGCAATACGAGCATACTGCAGGCTTGAACTCAGAGAGAAAGAAAGCAGAAAAGGCCGCTGCCAAAGATGGTGTTACGGATGGTGAGTACGACAGCAGCTGGGACACCGAAGCGTGGGATTCCTCAGTTGCCGAAGCGCCGGCCAAACGAGCCCGCCGCGCCTAAGATGTGGCACTGCGAATGCAGTGCTCTGGGAGCCGAACTATCCAGATCGGCAGCTGTAGATGCTAGCTGGGTCGGGGATGGCTGTCATTGTCATGCTTCGATGAATGACTGCAACCTAGGTCGACCTGCAAAACCTGCATGCATGTTCCGCCGTCTCGAACCCGACCTGTAGCATGCAGCGATTTCAGTTTCAAACACCGACACCGGGGAAGCCAAAAGTTGCTCGGCATTCCGCAAGATTGGAGGCATGCAAGCGTCTGTATCGAGAGTGCATGTAAATGTACACATGTGCCAATTCGGTAGAACATGGCTCGATCATGATTTGGAAATCAAAGTCACTGCCCGCCAATCCTTTATAAGCTCTATATAACCTTATCTTAAAACCCCAACAACCGACGCAAACCCTTGAATCCCAAGACCCTGAACTGACACAAACCCCTGAACCCCAAACCATGCTGACGATTGAACCAAAGCCCCAGAAGAACCTGAAGGTCCCAGCTTCATGATGCAGAAGCGTTGCCGCCATGGAGTCCAAACTGAGGGCGAATCCAGGTTTCAGCATGAAGGAGTATGTGGACCAGACGATCCATGATGCCTGGGAGATGTTCGGGTCTGGGGAGGTGCCACCATGCATGCTGTCGTCTGTGTCTTTATAACTGCACACTTGGATTGCAGGCCAATCTGAGCAGACTACGGAAATCTCTAGGCCAGGCTGTTGTATTGCGGTCTTACAACATAACAGCTGGCAGCAGCTAGCAGCTAGCACGTTTAACTGGATTGCAGCTGCTGCCCAGCACTTGCAGGCCGACTGCGCGAGCTGCCTCATAGCTTGATTCCGCTGCCCCGTCGCAATTGAGTCGCATGGAGCGATAATTTTCCGAAGTTGTCAGTTTCATGCATCTCAGGCAGGATACGCTGGAACTTTTGGATGCTCTGGACTCCTGCCAGTCTTATGGGAGTGGTCGCTGTATCGCGAGATGGCTCAAGAAACAAGACTGGAGAAGCCCGGCAATCAATCAATCCACACGCAATCTAAACTTACAGCGCATGCCCTCTGATCGAAACTGATCTAGATTAGTCCTGCGTGATCCCAGGAGCAGCCTTGCCTCAAGCTTTCCAGCTGGATGTGCCAATGGCGGCTGGGACGCATGCAATGTTTCATATTTTAACGCACATTCTAGCAAACATGGCCATGACTTAGTTGTTCTCAGGAGTACATTGATGCCCGGGGCGAACACAGGACCACCATCAAGCACGAGATGTACCTCCCCCACGAGATGGTGGCATCATTCTACCAACGAGAAGACCTGTTCCAACTTCTTACAGGACCCCCAGGAGCCTCTTAGTCGAACAAGCATGCTCATGCACCGACATCTTCATCCCAGGCTTGCAATGCACATGCAGCTCAGGCTCTTCGTTCATATATTGGGAAGAGGAGCTGGCAGCCACGAGCGCGTTTGTGAAGCCGCACCCCGCCTTCGATGCAGCTGGGCCGAATTGGGTGGGGAGTTTGCTGATCTTGGTGTGGTCTGTCTGCATGCAGGACCCCGATTGCAATCTCGATTACGTGGTGCCGCTACGGCTTTATGGTGACGGCGCAGATGCTTATCGCTTCTCAGCCATATCATCACGCAAACATGAGTGACATACTTCATGAGGTCGATGTATCATGCACACATACTAAGGTAGACAAAAATTCGAGATTTTGACCCTCGTGACGGTCCCAAAGACTGAAGCTGAGACGTCCACCTTGAACACCCGGTTCCTGTGTCTCGACGCGCAAATTATAACCTCGGGTCGAATCAACATGGAGCGATGCACATAAGCCCCGAATTACGTGGGCCACACCCAGGCTATCATGTATGAATGCCACCTACTGCAGCACGGCTGCGCGGGACAAGCTGCTGACCATTATAGCATGGAGCTTTAATTGCCTGAGCCACTCGACTATCTTGCTAGGGCAATAAATTTGCTAACGGCGCACCTACAAACTCTTGCAAAATCTTGAGGCTCGGGTGTCCACCCTCGCTGCGACGCTTTCGGGAAGGAGTTCGGGCCGGGCTACATGCCCGAAAGGGCAAAAGTGGCAGGCACGCGAATCTGCGGCGATTATATCTGCATCTTTGATGGGTTTCAAGCCGATTGGGAATACCACAAGCTTGCTATGGGCCTGCATCGTTTCTCATCCGCAACAGGACCCTATACCTGAATTTCAATCCCTTAATATATTTCGGGTGAGATCCAACTTTAAGGCTTCTACAACAAGAAGATGACATGTCATTTCTGTTCGGCAATCCAGTGGATCAATGCTGTAGCCAAGCCGGGGGAACCCAACAACGTGGAGCTGCTTTATTCCTGCTTCGGGCATGACGCCCTCCACCGCAGCACTATGATCTTGACCAAGGAGGACTTCATCGAAGCACACGGAGAATCTCCATTGACTAAGATTATTGGGTTTGGTCCCTCCAGAATCTTGGCTATATAAGCACTGTTACACTTGATGTTTAGAGAACAGTTAACAAAACCTTTGACATGGACCCATCAGGACTGCTACCTGACTACATGCATATGGTACACTTGGCAGTGGCTGTTGATTTTCTCGGCAGCATGTTGCTGGAGGTTACTGACGACACTACGATATTGCCGGGCGCATCGCGAGAAAAGCGGCTGGATTTGTTGTGGAAAGATTACAGATCCTGGGCTGAAGCCTCTCAGATACTTGGTGATCGCGCCAGCAGACGCATGTTTACAACAGCAGTTCTGCGCAACAACAAGAATATCGAGGTTTCGCAGAGAATTCTTTCTGCGACGGCTTGCAGATATATGCTGCTATGGGCATGCACTTTCTTGACAACGGTGTGCGAGCAGATCGCACCGACTTCTATCTTGGAGCAACTTGGAACATACCTTATATGCATGTGTTTTGTAGACTTAAACTTTCAGCATACATGAGCGTGCATGCACCCAGGCACTTGCTGGCAGCTGCCACGGCTTTTCGAGATATGGAGATGCTGATGATACACAACGGGCACTCAGTCAGCACTATGTTGCGAATTTAAATTTTTCATGGCAGTGTATGCATCCAAGTCGCTTCTTCGGCAATGCGGCCGCACAGCAGTTCGAGGATTGCTACCTGATGCTTCGTTTTGCGTACAACGAGCTTGCACGAAGTGCAATAGCTCGAGTGCTACCGAGATACCACTTTAGGCCCAAACTCCATTTATTGGAGCACTGCGTATTGGATTGGAAGCCCCGCAACCCAAGATACTTCAGCAACTATCTTGGGGAAGACGCTATCCGTCGGATTAAGAGTCTGGCTTCGAAATCTGATGTGCGCAATATGTCACAGAATGTGCTGCCGCGATATACTGTGCAGATGGGACTTCGCTGGCAGAGACAGTAAAACAAACAGATCGTCTGCGTGCAGATCGGATGCAGCATGTGCTCACGTCATCGTCCGCCAACTTCCAGCATGCAGATGGCCGGAGTCCATGGCTACATAATTTCTCCGAATTTATATGTCACAATGGGTGGTATACATATGTATATATATATATATATGTATATATATATATATACAGATACTTCTTTTCAACCATACATTTTTTTATAGCTACACAAATATCAACACTATTTTAGACACACGCGCACATCTTTAAGGATTGCATTAATTGTCGACGACAAACTCGGTGTATGCCTGAATCTTCGAGGCGTACCGGCTGTGAGTGCTGGCCATCACACGCGAACGTGTAACACACCTATTATTCTATCCCATTATAAGTCGATTAATGCACAGTATTAGAACACCGACGTCACACGGAATCCCCCGACAGCTTGCCCCAAGTTTTGGCGAATCACTCCTCGAGCTATACAATCAGGTCCCGGAATTGCAATCTAGGAGCTAGATTCTTATAAGAAACCGAACATGATCGCACTGATGCTCATGACTGCTTCGGGCGTGTAGCCCATTTCGCACGTGATCCCGACTTTTTTGTAGCCAGTGGTGCGCAATCCAAACATTTCAAATGCAAATTGCACATCTCAGAAATCTTTTGATCGCGTTTCGTTCGTCCGTGAAACTTTTTGATTCAACAGGCAAAAATGCGATCGACCTTATATGGGCCAGCGTCCTTATCCCACCAGCGTCCTTCTATATAAGGCTTGTTGACCCGTGTTGGTTGCAGTGTGTGTGGAGTACCAGAGTTGAAAACAAATATGGATGTTCGCGAAGCGAGGAAATTTTTTGTTTTTTTATGCAAAATTCATGCAAATGCTTTTGGCGCGAGTGTCTGGAGCAAGCCTTGTAGTGTGTGTGGAGTACTAGAGTTGAAAACAAATATGGATGTTCGCGAAGCGAGGAAATTTTTTTTTTATGCAAAATTCATGCAAATGCTTTTGGCGCGAGTGTCTGGAGCAAGCCTTGTAGTGTGTGTGGAGTACTAGAGTTGAAAACAAATATGGATGTTCGCGAAGCGAGGAAATTTTTTTGTTTTTTTATGCAAAATTCATGCAAATGCTTTTGGTGCGAGTATCTGGAGCAAGCCTTGTAATTAGTGTGTGTGGAGTACTAGAGTTGAAAACAAATATGGATGTTCGCGAAGCGAGGAAATTTTTTGTTTTTTTTTATGCAAAATTCATGCAAATGCTTTTGGTGCGAGTGTCTGGAGCAAGCCTTGTAGTGTGTGTGGAGTACTAGAGTTGAAAACAAAATATGGATGTTCGCGAAGCGAAGAAATTTTTTTTGTTTTTTTATGCAAAATTCATGCAAATGCTTTTGATGCGAGTGTCTGGCGTCTGGAGCAAGCCTTGTAGTGTGTGTGGAGTACTAGAGTTGAAAACAAATATGGATGTTCGCGAAGCGAGGAAATTTTTTTGTTTTTTTATGCAAAATTCATGCAGACTGCTGCATGCTTTTAAATTCTTCTAAATTCTTCTAGATTCGTCGGAATTCTGCAATTTTCTTCCAAAATCTTCCGGTTTCTGCCTGTCTGTCAAGACAT